AAAAAAAATGAACAGTAATGGGCCATTTCCCCTTTTTTAAAAAAAAAAAAAAAAAAAAAAAAAGATATATTGAATTGATTAAAGGAGATACCAAATGTGAATGTTTTGAGTTCAAATTTTTACTTCTTAGTCTTTAAAAATAAATTTTTTTTCCTCTGGCAAAACCAATCCACAGTAAGCAGTTTTAAAGGCACATAATAGAAGAGAAAACCTGCATCAACTTTCCCTACATTAGTTTGGTTTGAATGTTATTTTGTATTTAACTGTGTGGGAATGCATGCTTTCTGTGCCGTGTGAGATGCAACCATCTGTCAAATAGGACATACCTTGAATTCAACAAAAACTTATTAAATAAGGGAAAACCTCAATTGCTACAGAGGTACTAGTATTTAATTTTAATATGACATAATTCTGACCCCTCCTTTGCCTTGAGTGTTATCTCTTTATTCTAGAGTCTGTGGGATATTCAGAGTTTTCACATCTGAAAGGCTGGCTGAACTGGCAGATTTCAATCACCACGGCAATTTAATTATTTCCAGCTCACGTTTGGCTAAAGTACAATTTACATTAACTGAAAATAGGCCAGATATAAAGATCTATTTGCCATCAGAAACTTCAGTGAATAAGCAAAAGATATAATGCTATAATTTACCTTTTTCTATCTGTACCCTATAATTGCTGCATACACTGAATAGTTAAAAAAGAATAGCACTCCTATAATAGACAACCAGAACAAATAAAAATAGTTTTAAAGCAATGTCTTTGTTAAATGATCTAAATAAAGTTCTCCACAAGATGAGGGTGTATGAAGGACGAACTAGTTTTGTATGAAGGAATGTGTGTGTATGTGTATTTGTGTTGGAATGCTCTGAATACCTAACCAAGCCCGAAACCTCAGAGATTACAGGCATTCGAGAGGCGCTTCCTGTTTAAATGTTCTGGGTTTTTGCCTTAAATAAAACTCTAATGACACATGGGAAGATTACAGCAATATTCCCTCCTTCTTCCCCATTTAAGATCACTCGACTATACAAATAAGGAGACAGTTAATACTAAATAAGGACACCATCCCCTTTCAAAATGTGTATCAGCTCACACCACGCGATGCAGGTTTCAGCTCTACCGGGTTTTCCAGCCAGAAATGCCAACAGCGACAGGCAGGCCAGCGCAACATGAAGGACTGGGGTGGAATTGGCTCTTCAGAGGGATTGTGACAGTTGGGCTCTTAGCAAGATCAGAGGGTACAAGACGTGTTCCTTTTTTCAAAGCAGTTGCTTCAACTCAGCACCCCTGCTTTTGCTTGGGAATGGTGATAAATGAAACAATTACGTTAATCTCAAATTTATTTTTTACATTTACAGAAGGATGTGCAAATCTGTTTCAAAACAAGAATCTCCTTCATAGTTTATTAGTTTGCCCTGATTCAGTGCTTGGAGGATTTTACATGCTGGAAACAAGAATTTAAGAAAAAGATTTTTCTGCGTCCCTTTTATCTTTTCCTTTTTTTCCAGCTTCCCAGCCTCAGAACGAGAGTGCTCTCAAAGAAGAAATCTTTGAAGATGTAGTGACAATTGCTGATCTCCATTGCATGCAGTTCACTCTGAAAAGTAACTAGAAGGAACGTGCAGGTGAATGAGGCAGCATAATTCCCGACTTAGGCTTGTCACTGAATTCTTTTGAAGCAGATACAACTTCTGACACTTTAGCTGATTTTGACACCAAAGGATAATGTCTCATCCACAATTCAAAGACTAATCTGCAGCCTTTCTTAATACAGCACCTAACTAGAGAACGTAATATACCCCATCTCAAAAATACTAATTTGATATTTCTTTTCCTCTCAAGGACTCTATTTTCAACATGGATACATTAAACTGAGGAAATAATTCATTCTGTCACATTCATTCTGTCTTTGGAATGATTATAAAGAGAAATACATATTCACATGTTTAATAGGCTTTTTTTTTGCCTTATTCCTCTTTCACTGTTTTAAAGGAAACAGTTGTCTATTTAAGCTTACTTTACTTTGATTTGCAAAAAGATAAATGCAAATCATGATGAGAGCACTAAAACCAATTTAAATTAAATCTCTACATAACGGTGATACTCCCTGTTTATGTATCTGGGAACTAAAGGTAAAGGTGGTTGATTGACTGGCAAATGCAACCTTAGAGGGCATCTCTGACTGGTAGATACTGAAACTACATAGACATGAAACAGAATAAGGCCAGAGAAAATTGGTGGTGAATGGCCAAATTTAATAGAAATGTGAATTGAACTGCATTGGAAGACTAAAGCATGTCAATAGGAAAATATCTACAAACATAGGAAACAAATGAGAGAGTAAAATGAAAACCAATCAATTTTTTAGCCTCAAAATAGTAGAAAATGAGACACATCATGGCTGACAATTTTCTAAACAATATCCTCCTGCATTAGTAGAATTATCTATCCTTGACATCACAGGGTTAAAAGGAAAATACAATATTCTTTCAAAGGTCAGAAACTGATTTCCGAATATTTATTGTTCTCCTTGTGTTGTATACGGTAATTTGTCATTTTACTCATCACCACATGCAATTCTCTCCAGCACAAACAGTAGCTAGAGAAAAACATGCACTGAGTAAACAAACACTGAGTACTGTTAGCGATAAACACTAGACACAAAAACTAAAGCTTCTGCATTCTTAAGGCTGGTCAATAATCCTACGCTTTGGGAACAACTGCGCTGAAAGCAAGGGATGGTTTATCCTACCAGCTATTTAAAGCAGATCCTCTGTGTGCATCAGGGGTATTTAAACGTTGAAGATGCTATTTCAACCCGAATTTTTTCATGAATATCTTTCTATCCTTTTTTTCCAATAGCTTCTAAACATCTAAATGAAATGCATGCTGGCAGCAAAGCAGACAGTATTGTATTTTCTCTGACACCATCACATTTTCTTATAATAAGCTAATTGACTAATACCCTACTAATGAGTATTATACAAAGATCAAACACACATGCTAAGCCAGTCTTTAAGAAAAGACACTCTTCCCTAGTTTGCCTGTTAGCACGGGGTAGCAACTGGCAAACATTGCAACTTTGCAGAGTGTAATCAAACTAGCTGCAATCAATCAGCCGTACTCTTACGGAATCAATCTAGATAAACAGCTATGAAATCAGGTAAAAAAAGTATCTGATGTGGTTCTTAGAAATACAGGCATAGCCTATGCAACATCCAACTTTAAACCAAGTCACTATCATCCTAGTAATTTGAAATAAAGACCCCTACAATCTTTAAATACTTCTTGTGTTTGAGAGCATTATTTTTGTTACATGGGCTTAATAAAAGCTTGAATAGTCAAAGAGAGGGCAACTGTTCCTATCAGTACAGTATCAATTATCATATTTTTTAATTTTAAGTTTTTTATAGCTGTTCAAAGATTGAAGTAGCATATTGATTTTTCAGAGGGGTTTAAAAGACTACAAAGTATAACTTAATATTCTACTTTCTGTTTAAAAAGACACTGAATACAAATATTTAATACCAAAAATACTACTTCTTTTCCCCCTGATTGTTTAGGGTTAACAGAATTTTAAGACGAGAAAATTTGAAGAGTTACTTGGTGACTTGCCCTCAAAAAAGATCTCTCTGAAGATTTTCTTTTTGAACTACAAAGCAAAAAAAAGACTGAAATAAATATATGAATATCAGAAGATGGCATTAAAGCTGTGCTAAAGCACAGAAAAGGTCATATCGGGGCACAAACTACTTTCTTCTAGAATGCTATTAGAAGATGAGATGTTATTTTGTCATTCCATGTTTTAGTGAAAGTACCTGAGCAGTGGTTGTCTTTCTGCTAAGTCTTCCTCAAACAAAAAGCTACATATCTTCAGCAAGACGAGGCACTTCATCTCCGTGAAGCTAAATGCTACTGTCAACATGATTGCTCCAAAACCCAAGAAATTAGGATTTATGAAATCCAGACTCTTTTGGATGCAAAGTAACCTTAAGTTAGTGTGGTAACTGTACAATGAAACTTAATAAAAATGCTAAATATTATAATAGGATGTTTAGATAATTCTACCATGCAAAATAATCGCAATCAGTTGAAAAGGCAGTTTGATGGTCCTGTAGACATCTTCATGCATTTGTTCTGTATTGTTTTCCTACTGAGAACAAAACCAAAAAGATTTTGTCATACTCTAAACTTACCCACCACCGGTGCCTCCATTTTTGCTGAAATGTGTACGTGGCTCACTTGATGCCAGTTTAAGCAGTTCGTTCCACTCCCGTTCCCATTCTTCTTCTGTATACACTAAACCTGACTGTGGGAGAAAAGGAAATACCTTTACGATTAGGCTGGTACAAAATGTAAGCAGAGCCTGTAGGAGTATTTACAACTAACTTTGAGCTTCGTACATGATAACAGTTTAAGATCTTGGACCATTACTGGCTCAACATTTCTATTCAAGTGAAAGGATATGAACTTACTAAAAACTGATCTAAATCAGTAACTGTAGACACTGGATTACGTTTCTGGATATGAGGCTGCTGTGGCTAACACAGTGCTGCACCACTGGAGATCCAGTTACTCATACCCACGTGGACTCCTCACAGCTACAGTTAACATGCTTTCCTGCCCGTTTCTGGAGGTTTGCTTTCTTCCCCAGTACGTGGGACTACTCTGAATGCCCTCCTTGGCAGACAGGTGATGTTCTTTCTCTCTGGTCAAGAGCAGAAAGGGTCTATAAATGCTTCTGTGCCCCTGTGCTTTCAGGCAGCCTGCAGCAGCTGAGTCAGTCACAGCTCAGCTCTGTTCTCACCACAAAGAGCAGTCAACAAAAGTCACAAACATTTAGGCATATCCACTTACCACGTTCAGGATTACTCCTGAAATCGGCTTTTCCAGCCACTGCTTAGGCACAGACGTGTTCAGAAAATAATTAATGCTGAAGTACAGCTTTTAATCAACAGTTAAACCAAACTGATGATTTCAGTTAAGACACAATTTCTCAATATTTGGTCACAGCTCTAAGAATTCTAATTTGCCATTCTTGGGAATCTTTCCTAAATGGAGTTTTCTTGGTTTTGTGCATTTCATCCACTCATTTCATAATGCTAGGGATAGCTAAATCGTACATTTAATTTTGAAAAATTAAAATTTTCTACAGGTTCCAAGCTCATCTTAGACTTCTGTAGGCATAAAACTGTGTATATTTATACCCACAAAGCTACAAACACGCTTGCATTCTGATAAAAAAATTCTAAATACAAGTATGTCCCCATGCAAAAATGGAAGCACAGAGAATTTGACAGCAATTAAAACTTTCACACCAAACTTCAGAAGAATGCTTTTGACCCTAAATGGTATTAACAAGCCTGTCTTCGGGCCGCACAGACCTCCTTATTCTGCTGGGTCTGTTGCCATCTCCATCTTCGTTTCAGTGCTTCCCTTTCAGCTCCACTTCTCATCATTGTATAGAGTGCTTTACGTAAAACAAGGTCCCGGTCGTGAAATCCCCACATCCCTAAAGTAGCACAAGACAATATTCAGTTTAAAAGCAGTTACGGTGAAATAGTAAGTACTAATACAATTAATACTGCTCTATTAGCAAAAGAAGCATAGCTTATACATTAAGATTCTCCTTGGCAAATAGTTCACTCATTATTTTTTAGGTTTCTTAAAGAAACAATCAATATAGATAAGCTAATGAACAACAATTCTAACAAAGTTTAAACTTTGATTAAGGAATGACTAAGGATCTGCTTTGTTCCAGTGTTTGCTTGCACACAGCTTCAGTGTAGCTGTCAGCAATGGACTCTTCACTGCTCAGGTCGGGTTTAGCAGTGGTTGCCAGCAGAGCCTGCAGCCACAGGAATGCAAATGACAACTGCAGCACTTCTCTGAGTAATACCAACAGATGATCCCCACACCCAAAGGCCTCCACTCTTTTACACAGCACCATGGTAAATTTCCTTTGGCTTCAACATCCAAATAAAGAGACGGGCATTCAAGCTGATTAGAAGTCTAAAAATACAACCAGCCACAGGCTTTCAAGCTCGTTTTAAGATAATAAAATGTCTTCATGTAGTTGAGAATAGTAACCTACAACATGAGACAGCAGAGCTCTCACCAAGATGTGCCCATAGACAGCTATGTTTCAATTCATATTGTCAGCTGTTGACATTACACAAGTTTATTTAAGACTTTGCAAGTCAAAATACTCCAAACATTTGCTGTGAATAATATACAATTCCTCCTAATTAAAGATGGACAAAGATAAAAGGATCTTCAGAAACAGCAAAAACTCTTTTCCTACTACTTCTTTCAAAAAGAAGAGTCTATTCAAAATACTGAAAATCCTAGTGTTTTTAAAACGTCACCTTTTGGAGTTCCACTGGTGGAAGATTTTAGCAACTGCAACAAAAATAAAAGTTTCCTCCTAATAGGTTAGGATATAGAAGGCATATCAAGGACTTTCAGCTTCGCACATTTCCAGTTATTTGATTTGAAGACAGGCTTCAAAGATCTTGTATTAATGACTAATTAATCAACTGGAAATTATTTTAATTCACTCCAAACTCTTTTTCCCACAAACTTAAACTCTACGAGGAACCACCAGGGCTAATAGCTAGATATTGCATTCCTGAAAAAGACAGGAAGAGAACTGTTTAACAAAAGGCAGCAAATTAATGCAATTCCTTGCCCACAATGAGGGCAATCCTGCAGAAGCACCTGGAATTTGCCTGTTCCAGAGCTGTTAGGTTGGACTCTGTAAGGAAAATGCAAATCAATGGTGTTTATGATATATGGATTTCGACACTGTTCCAATTATAGTTCTATAACCTGGAAAAAATTTTACCTTCATCCCTCAAGTATACCTAAAGCAAACAATACTTAAGTGAAATTTGAAGACTATATTGCTCCAGAACCAGGCTTTTAGTGAAAGTCTTTGCATCCTGTGTGTTTCTGAGCTTTTGCTGGGGATAGAGGAAAGTGGTAAATATTTTTGGCAGAAGGTTGCGTGTACAGACTCGCCCTTACCTAAAGATGCAGCATGCAAGAGGCAGTTTCCATCACCTGTTGTAGCCAAGGGAAGAAGACGTTTGCAGCTTGTGCACACTGTGGACCACCAATTTAGTCGTCCTGAAAAGAAAGCATCTATTACAATGATGGAGTAGATATTAAGAGGATGCATACGTGTTCGAGGCATACTGCAATCACGTGTAACATTAATGATGAACATCCTTTTCTGCCAAATAAACTGAGGTGTAATGTCAGAGTTGAAAACTGAAAAGATTAGAAATAAGAGGCAGGTAAACTTTATCTATTTGCTAAATGTATTTGGAATAAGAAGGGAGAACCAGTAATTAATTGGCATCTCCTATTCTCATATGCTGCATTCAGGGATGGATTTCCGATAAGTTTGTTGCCTAAATACCATTATCAGTCTTGGTATCAGTTCCCAAATATAATTGACATCAGCCTCCCATCACAGATGACAGATTATCTTACAGTAATAAAGTCTCAAAAGACAAAAGTAATATGCATGTGGTAATCAAGATATGTTACTGTTTATTAAGTAAAGTACTATTGTTTCAATTAGACTGATTGTTTCAACAGCTGATTCTCCTCTCAATTACCTTAGTGTAAATCATGTTTAGTCCTACTAAAATCAACAGCTACACTACCAGAGAATTACAATGAGACCAAATGCATAGCCCATACTCTAGGATAGCATGGGGCTTCTCTCTCTGACAACATTTAGAGAACCACTTATCTTTCATTGGTACATGAAGCATAATTTACAGATTATAAACCAGAGATGGATTATGAAAAAGACTGACAAGAAGGCAGATATTTGACACATCTAGATGAAGCAAATGAAGCCATGAAGAGTATCAGTGCCAAAGCCAACAGTGGAAGTACATCATTCCGGGCACACAGGTTGCCACGTGGTAGCTCCCTAAGTGTTAAGTCTTGGTTAAATGGTCATGTGAACATTTCTAATATAAAGAAAGAGAACGTGACTAATTGTATAACATCTTTGGGAATAAGGAAGAGGAGATGATTAACAATGATGAGTAGAGCTGGTGTATTTCCCAAGACTTTTGGAAAGTCTGTGGGTAATGTACAATATTGGATAATTGAATGAGTAATGCAATAGGCAGCCTGTGGTGACTCCACTGCTTTGTTTGTCCTCTGCTGCAGACATTTTCTCCTCCAATTCCTTTAACTTGCAAACTGAGAGGAAATAGAGTCTATATATTTGTACAGTCAGTCTTGCATTTAAGGTTAAATCCACAAAGCAGAAGTAAGTTCCAAGAAATGAAAAAAACTTTTCTCCGTTAATGTGTTTTCATTACAAAATTGTACTGAAGATTATTTGTAACGGCAGGGAATACATATTGTGCAAAAAAATAGTATAACAATGTTTTAACATATGCCCCTAATTACTTGTTCCTGGTACTAAAAACCATGTAATTAAATTTAGTCAGTATGAGTTGAGAATTACTATACAGTAAAGGTAAAGCTGCACAGCAGATCTATAACTAAGCATACTTGGTAATCCTCCAATGATTTCAGCAGCTAGTTTGTAAATACCCAACATTTCAGATGAGGCTTATTGAGTTCTAAATTAAATATGCATTAAAGAAGCTTAATTTAAAGCGCTATTGGACAGCCTTTAGGAAAGATAAATCTGAAATAACAAGTTACAGTTTTTAGTAACTCCTGTGTCTGTGGGCTATGAAATAACAACTTGCCACCTGCTTTTTGCAGAATGTTTTGGTGGTATCACATTCAGTACCTGAGTTATACCAAGGTGCTGCGTAAAGCACAGCTACCAGACCTGAAAGAGACAGCCCTTAGGACGTAAGGGAATAGGGAGTGGTATTGCTTTGCAGATTAACTGGCAGCTATTGGTAATAAATGTCAAAGTCTGGTGTTTACGAATCTTTTCAATAACAGGAGGTTTCTATAGAAGTGATCTGCTTTCAAGCAGATTATGCAAAAACCATTTGTGGGCTTGGTTAACATCACAAAGCTTATGGCTGACTAAAAAATTAGCAGAAATGCACTGGATTATAATAAAAAAAGTGGTGTATTTTCATTTTTCAAATCTAGTGGTTATGGTGGATCACTTTAGGGAAACAACAGGAGAGCGGAGCTTAAATGAAAACTGGAAACAGTTCTGCCTTGGGCTTATTTCTGTCTGCTTTGGTAAGATAATCTTTATGGACAAACTGAATCCATTTCTTAAGGTACAGCTTGCTGACACAAGCTTGGTTTCCTTCAGAAATCAGGCTAAACCCAGCCTTTCTTTCATTTCCAGAAATCCACCTGTCATCCATCCTCCAAGATAAAGAAGTCAGAAAATAACATACTCAACTTCCAAAGCAAGTCTAGTTCTGCACATTCCATATATTCTCAAAAGCAAGGGTTCACCCTATGCACCCCCTCGCTCCCCTCTGGAACCCACCAATTACTACTCTGGGGCATGTGGAACCCCCTGGCTGAGTCACCAGAGGGTTACTCAGCCCCCTCAGAATGGACAGACAATTAGCAATGGGTGCAGAACCTCAAATCCAGATTTCAGCAGAGCTGGGACTACACTTTATGTGTTTCTTACATGACAAGCTAAGAGGATTTGTTTGTTTATTTTTAGTTCTAGTCCTTTCATACAGTAGATGTGTACTTGAAAGTACTGGCATGAAGAAAATTACAAGAACAGATTTTCTACATGGGCTTATATTAATCATTCAGTGACCATTTTTTGAATAAGTGAATAAATAAAGCATTTACCAATACACTTTCTGTACTTCAAAGAAAGGACCTTCATGTAGAAGCTCCCTCTGTTAGTCTAGATGATGAAATCAGCTTCACAGTAGCATCTGCGAGGCTGTTCTTATTTATGGATGTCCTTGAAATGTATGTTGAGCTGTGCATGTAGAAATAAGTAGAACTGAGCAATCAAGTAAATGCTTCTCTTTTAGCCTGATGCTTAAGCAACACAGGCTGTCACAGATGCTACAGACCACAATGCAAATCAAGGATCATAAAATGAGATGGCACAGAGATATATGACAAGGCCTAACTGGCTGCTGCAAACCAGTACCCAGCAGTTATCTGCAGGGAACCACAGATCCAGTATTACCCGTTTTCTCCATTTGTTTCTTTCATAACCTGAGACAGATGTTTTTCTATGACATTATTACATTTCATCCTACTCTGATACAATATTTGTCATTCATATTAGAACTGACTTACACAAGGATGCATTTCAAAGCTTGGAAATCAGGAAATTAATACAGTTCTCTTCTAATTATGATGGTTGCAATCCCAGCACCCTGCATATACCGTGTGAAAATCCCTTAGAAATTCTGGGATAAGAAAATGTTTCTACAACCTGAAAAGGCATCAATTTTTCTTAAACAAATCTTAATTTCTAAGTCTGAAATCAAACATTTTGGTGGATTTGTTTTTGGGGATGTGAAACCCAAGCTTAACAACATAGTACTGTTTATTTTGCTTGTAGCTGTATGAAATGCAGAACACAGAAAGAAAAGTATAGGAAAGCAGTATTCTTGAAAGGTCATACAGTTTACTTTTTATTTTTGTATTTAATTATATTTCAGCAATGCAACAGAAACTTCTTTTGTTTTCATTAAAAACACAGTGTTAAACCAACCGTTCTCCTGCCTATACTACGGTTTCTGAACTCATTGATAGTGCAGAAGCAGCGTTCATAATATCTCTCTTTGTGTCAGCCTACACATAACACCATGCGGGGGAACACGTGCATATAAAGAAAATCAACTTGCTGCAGCAAAATATTTAAAAATTACAGAATTCCTTTCACACAGATTTCATTTAATGTTACCACCACCTGAGGCTATCCCTATCGCTGAAGAAGCACACTGATTACTGCAGGAGCACAGACATCAGGCCCCACGTGACTTACAAGCCAACCTCATTCTAATTCAGGCCATTTTTGTTTGTAAGACACACAAAACCATAAAATGCTGTTGTGAATGTGGCGAGTTCTGTGCTCCACAAGAAATATTCAGAAAGCAATGACACAGAGAGGTTAGATTGCAGCAGCAAGTGAATCCCCCTGCCGTTATCTGGGCTTCTCCTTCATCACCTCACGCAGCACCGCGAGCGACCGGGGAAAAGAGCTCCGAGTTCTGTACAGGTAGGATGCAAATGAAACATCCTTTCACATGTAGATGTAATGGCACCAAGTGCCTAAACATATAAAAAAGAGAATATAAACACCTTACAGGCTCTTAGAGACATCCAGACATGCAGCCACTTCAGCCAACACCTGCAACGGTCTGTTAACAGCAATTTTGCTCTCCTGAGCTATGCTTTGAGAGTAGGAAGCTACTCTGTTCCTAATAAAGTTCCTCCTCCTTTTGCCTAACCAGCTTCTTTCTGGTTTGTTTGGGGTTTTTTCCCCCTCATTTATCTTGAAATTCATGCCCTTAAACCCCAGCACACACCTCTCTTCCTTTAACACTAACCCCAGCCTTAGCCACAGAAGCTACTGTCCTTTGTGAGGATGGGTTTGCTTTGAACTGCATTCCAGGCCCTTCACAGGGAATGCACTTTAGCTGTTAATTTTTATGTCACTGACTAAACCATAGTCAAACTGGGCCCTCTGTTGGTAGGAGACAGTAAAATGTCTAATGCTAAAGGACTTCAAATTCACTCTCTTCATTTCAGACAAGATGATGTCTAAAATAGGCAGGAAATAAAAGTAAACTGAATATCTTTTCCATCTTAAATAGAGACAAAAGGTCAGTTTACACGAAGCCTTACATGGTTTTCTTAAACATTCACTGAAGAACTGTTTCTCAGGAAGTTCCAGTTTATTTGGATGAAATGCTTACAGCAGTAAACTAAGTCTACAGAGGCTAGAGGAACACCTGCCGTCGCAACCATAAGCACTTCAAATGCTCAAAACACCCTCCCCTCTCCAGGAGGCAAGGGGCTCTGAGGAGGAAGGGACTTCTCCAGTGTGAGTCAAGTTATCGCCCTTCAAGTTACCAGCTTTACATAATCAACAGAAAAAAGCAACTGCCTATTTGGTATTCCACAGGCAGCCATGAAATCTGATTTTGTAAGTCCTTTATACCACCAGAGTTGGGCATTTCACTATATAGGTATTTTTGGTTTGTGGTTCATTAATACACTCACTATTTCATAAGGTATAGATACTATTTTTAATTACATTTCTCTGTATCTTTCAAAACTGACCTAAGACTTCAAACTACTAATAAATCTGAAATGAAATTACTTTTAACTTTCTACACTTTTTGCCAATGGCAAAAGAATTACTTTAAAATGATTTAGTTTCTTATTAAAAAAATAATCAGTACAAAAATACTTATTTTAAAACTGTTTTCTCAAGCTGGAACAGAACGTGAAGATGTTTCCTTTGTTAGTCGTTGCAATGTAATTTCCTCATGAGAAGTGGAAGTACCAACCCCTTCCAACCACCCGCACTCTTCTCTATTGCATGACTTCTCCATCAGTCCTCCTTTCCTTCCTCCCTTCAATTTCTTTGTCTTATTAAGTAAATTTGACAGTTTATAACATTTTAAAAGCAATAGATCATCAAGGTACGTGTCATTTTGCAAAGAGTGCAGTATTTGCTTTACTCTCTGTCATTTATCACCCAAGCAGGATGCAAAAGCTCCAGAAATGAAGTGTGATTAGAGATGCTCACTCAAATGTCAGGGTGCCCAGCTGCTGACACCCCAAGCACTGACCCACCTGCTTGCTCCAAAGCAACCATTGTTGCCTGCTCAATTAAGTCACGTTCAATGAAGCTTCGGAAATCTTCGCTGTACACGCTAAGGTCTGGTAGCTGGAATGTGTAGATGGGCATCTCCAAAGGGAACTGCTCATTGCTGCACTCGTTTGCTACATGGGATCGGGCCAGGGAGACTATGGCTGAGCTGGCGTGAGAAATGCCTCTGGAGAGACGCTTTTCTGCGGAGAGAGCAAAGAGATGTTACAGCCTATAACACTACATAAAAGGCCAGTCAACACCAAGTCTGGTAAAAGCCTGTTAATTTCACTTGGGAATGTATGCCACTTCTTATTTGCTACCTTTTTTGGGCTTATTTCCCTACTATAAAAGACTGCTTAGCTCTTACCATGGATTCCTCCAGCAAGTCATAGGAATTTCACTTAACTTCTAACAAAATAGATAACCAGTAAAAGTAACAAGATATGAAAGACAAGTATTTCTATAAAGAAATTTGTAATGTATCCTCAGTTTCCAAAGATGCATTGGAAGAATCATTTACTGGTAGAGAGATGATAATCAATTGATATTTTGAACTCTTAAGTTGATTACTTGTGAATCAAAAAATCCAGCATTCTACAATCACTTCATATTGAACATGTCATACTGTTTTAATCTCAGAACAATCTACCTGAAAAGCAATTTTAACATCATTATGCTGAATTGAAGAGAAACTCAGTTTATATGCCTATATGTTTTCTAAAATCCTGATCCAAGGAACAATGCACAGTTCAAATAGAATGATGACATTGAAAAGCCTGGTACAAAAGAATGCGTCATTTCATCAAAACAACTATGAGCTAATATCTTATAATTTATTGAACGTCTCTGTGGACAAATGCTACATAAGGAACAGTAAAGGGTCATAAAATAAGCATTAGAATGTTAAGAAAGGGACAAAATATTTTTATCATATAATTTTATTTTACTGATTGGCTTCATTTCCAATATCAGCAAATGGGTAACAGATACTCTTCAAGTGCTTAAACCATGAACCATTCAGTTAAAACTGATATTTTCTCTCTGTTTAGCGTCTGCCCTGTGCTCCTGTTTATATTGTTAAAAACTGAAACGAGTTTTTTGTAACTGCTTAAAATGTATGTTCATCAAACATTACTAGTCTTCCCTCAGAAGTTTAACAGTTCCTTCCTGCACCCCGCTGTACGCCCCGTGGAGCCGCGGTACCACCGCTGCTCTCTGCTTCTGACTCACCCTCCTCGGGGCTCCTACCGAACGGTGCTCTCTCAGCCGCCCTTCAAAAGGGGGATTATCTTAAATTAATACTAGAAACCTCCTGGGCATTTTACTGAGTTTTATTAGTGAGTTGGCAGCAGGTTTACAGAGTGTCTTACATTTCTGAATATGCAAAAAGCTTCCTGGTGGGATTTCGATAATGTTAATTAGATAATATATTCATTGATTTTCCTTAGAAATTGATACCTTGTTGTACTGGAAGTTTTTTCTTAAAAACTATTTGGTGCAACTTCACTTCCGTAGTTTCATAAATACTACCATAAAGTAGTTTTTACTTATCAACTCCTCAAACATGTACAATGCTTTATCAAAATAAAAGAAGTTCCTGCACTTCTGTGCCTTCAGAAATCAACAAACTTACTTAAATGGAGCTTGTCACTTGATGGTGCTTTTAAAACATCAAACTGACTAACAGCTACTAAAAAATTTTTCCTGGACTTTGTGAACTTTTGTTTCTGTAATGGATCAACATTTTTCTACTTTTAAGAGCTAAACTGCACTCCCGAAAATATCCTAAACCAGGGAGAGTAGGAGAAGGTTTGACTACACATGCATTTCTCTCTTCTCCGTGTACATCTCAGCTAAATCACTTTTAACCAGGGGGACTGAAGTATAGGATAGCATCTCCGTTTGACATCCTCTTGCCTCCCACCACAGCCCAGCCCTCCCCATTGGCTGCATGCTCTGCTCCCAGCACGTGGTCCATAACAAGACCTTCCTTTCCCTTCTTGGCTCCTCCCTGAACATCCTCATTGCTCCAGTTTCACAGTATGGTCAGAGATGCCTCTCGAATCATTAACATTATGCATCGAATTGAGGGGAAAATTACCATCAGTCCAGGCCTTTAAATCTGGATGGACCTGACACTACCTACTACACCCACTAAAATACCAAATGGCCATTTCAGTGTAAACTGGGCAGTTTAATAACATGGAATTTTCATGTGAGCTATATCCCATTGAGGATGAAGGAACACGAGGTAATGGGCACAAACTTGAACATAAGAAGTTCCATCTAAACATCAGAAGGAACTTCTTCGAGGGTGGCAGAGCCCTGGAACAGGCTGCCCAGGGAGGTGGAGGAGTCTCCATCACTGGAGACATTCAAAACCCACCTGGACACGTTCCTATGCAACCCACGGTAGGTGGACCTGCTTTGGCAGGGGGGTTGGACTAGATGATCCCCAGAGGTCCCTTCCAAACCCATACCACTCTGTGACTGTGACACAATTTCATCAACTACAGTGTGCTACTCTTCCTCCCTTAATTTGTATTCAGTGCTTTTAAGAAGTCACAGCAAGCACTACAGCTCCTTTGTTACTGATGGAAATTACCAATTTTCAAAAAGCTTTACTGACACTCCTAAATACCGATGCCATTTCCTGCTTAATAGGAGGGAAGAGCCAGCAGAAGGGAAGACTTTCTGTTCTTTCTAATGACTGCACAGAAAGGCATCGCCAAGCTAGTGCTATTACCTCCCTACGTGACAAGCTGTCAGACCTGTAGATTTATTTTGGTGCAGACCACAGTTCCTTAATAAATTAATATTTTTTTTTTTAAAAAAAAGCATTCCAACAGTCTGAGAGACAGATCTGAAATAAAACATATAAAAGATCTGCAAATAAAAAAGTCAATTCTAATGCTTATCATCCTGCACTGGAAATCAACTGCTAAAGGTAGCTGACTCCTTTTTCTTAAGGTTTCAACTTCTATTTGGCAGGACATAAGAGGTTGTCCCTTCTTCTGTGCAACCATAAGAGAGCAAAATTTTAAAGCTGAAAGTTATCCATGATATTCCTTAATCACATACAGTGAGTTAGAATGCAAAGATTGAAATATGGCTTTTTTGAATCTTTTTTAAGTCTCAATAAGGATAGAAAGCTGCATAGAATAGTGGTCTGTGACACCTTCTAATTGCTTTTACATGTACCACAGGACTGCCTGGGGACAATATATTTTTGTACTTGAATCACACATTAAAAAAAGTAACTTGCAGAACGGAGGCAAAGCTCATAGCTACCAAAACAAGAGCACGGCAGGGTCCAGCAGCAGCTCTGTGAAGCCCACCACAATGACACAGTGCACAGGCCAACAGCAAACGACCTCCCCACAGACAAGCACAACTTGCCAGCCAACAAGCTGCTTGTCCACAGAGCCTGGAGAAGAGCTCTTACCTTGAGCAATGTCATCCTGCCTTTGCAGGCAGGGCCGCTCAGCCTTTGTCACCTGGGGAGGCTGCTCCGGCTCCTGCTGCTTGTAGTATTTGCCCTCGTTGAAGACCTGTGGCAGGTTGGCCGTGTGTACCTGCCGGAGCTGCTCATAGTCGCTCAAAGCTGCTGTCAAGTCCCAATTTTTGCCTGTCAAAGAGCAAAAGGACATTCTGCTCACCTCTGAATGTGTCCCGATCAATAACCTGGAAAACATCTCTGCATTTAGAATATAAACTTAAATAGAGAAATCACTCTTAAAGCATCAGTAAGGAAACAGAGGTTCTTGGGATGAAACATTTTATAACAAGTCCTCCCTCAACAAAAATGCAGAGTTGATAAACACCAGGGAAGTACACAGCAAGACAGACAAAAGAGCAAGGTACTACGTAGCAAGATAGACACAGCAAGGACAGAAATATTTTCTTTATATCAAAATTGGGGAAGACATCAGGAAAGCTCTTCCCACTCTCAAAAATAATGAAAAAAAATTGTTTGTGTGTTATTGTCAAAACAATCTTGCTAAATAAAAATTCACAGATATCCTAGCATTGTCAAAGTATTTGTTTTTAACCGGAAAATTACAAATATGCAACAGCAAGGAAAGAAGACCCCACTAATTACATGAGACTTTCACAGCATTCCATGAGCATGTTTTCTGGGAATTCAAAAGCAACCTGATTCTGACTAATCCATGATTTATTACACCATAAAAGGTTGTCACTTTATGTACTCTGAGAAGCTACATTACTTGAGCAGCAGTTAAATATAACTTATTTGCTTACACAAAGGAGAGTGAACTAAAAATAGCACAAAGCAGTTTTATACAGATAAAAGAAAGTCTTTTACTGCTACTGTCATTTCTGTAAAGAACAAAGACTTAACTGAAGGAGCAGAAAAACAGCACAAACAGCTGTTACCTATAGGGTTGAGCTCAACTTTCTCAGGTTCTGAGGTACTAAACACAATTGTGAAAGGAAAATTAATTTCACTAAGCAAGACCATTTTCTACATCCTGAGTAATCCATAATATAAACCACCATGTCAGTGATACGGAATGGCACAATGTTATGCTGTGATCTTCTGTTAGAGAGCCAGTAGGACAAAACATAAATTCAGTGAAAATTGTCAGAGAACCTAGAACAAGCACTTGAGTTATTCTCAGCATTTATTTATTTTTTTCCTAAAAATCCCATGTAGATTGAATGGCTATAATCCAGTCAAGGCTCTGCTTTAACTATATACATCCTCTGAGTGAAGCTGCCCAACCCAAACATCGAAGAACCATGAGTGTGTTCCCAAGACTGATGTGATCACATACCGATGTCTGGAGTAAGGATTGCTGTTCTTTGGTCCTGTTTTTAGGTGACACACACAATATGTTTTTTAAATCTTCTTCTCAACCATTAGGGCAATAAAATAAAACTTTTTCAAAAAAGTTAAAGTGGCAATAAATATAATTGTAAGAAATGTAGCTTTAAACCTAACAGTACTATCTGAGTATTGGCAATGCTGCAAGTCCAGCATTACGTGACTCCCAGCAGCAGCCTGGCTTCATTCAGTACAGATCCTTGAGTAACAGACCTGTATTAACGGAACACAGACAGCGTTTCTCCAGTGTCAGGGCATTCCTTACAGGTCACCTGCTCAGGATATATTCATATTTATGGAACCAGGTAAGTGAAACCAGGACATTTACATAGAAATATTGTATTTTCAAATCTCTCCATCTCCGTGGAGTTGTTCCCATCTCCTGAACAAAAGCACCAATCAGCCCCAAAGCCTTAAACTTCAGAGAACCAACATCAGAAATGATTACTAGACTCACTTCCCCCAAATTTGCTGGATCTTCCAAGTATCAAAACAGAAGAAAAAAATTCAACCCAATTAGAGAATATATTAAGCCCCTTCCCATCTCCATGTAATAATATTTTTGAATATTAGCCACCCTAGCAAAGGTGTCCGCAGCTACTCTCTGCACTGGAAACATGTAAGCTTGCCCCTTTTGCCAAGGCTTCCTCTCATTTTGGTTTATATTTTCACAAGCAAATACAATGACAGACCTTTTATTTTTCCCATTGCCCATAAAAAAACAGCAGAGGAGAATTCATCAGTTTGGGAGGATTAAAGAAAAAAATTCATAAGTCAAAGTAAAGGCAACTGAAGGAAGCAAGGAGAACTAGGGGAAAGGAAGAGAGGAAAAAAATCCCAGAGGTATTTATAAAAGACACTGTGTGAAGAAATAAAAATACATACAAAAATGTAATGCATTGTAAAATAAAATTAAAAAAAAGAAACCAAATCTAATAAAAAGTCCACAGAAACAATGGACAATGCAAGAACAAATCAGAAAGGTTATTAAATTCAGAGCTGTCCAGAGCAAATGATCTGTACAAGGATTTCCAGTAGCATCACATGGCAGGTGGGAAAGTTTCAGCTGGAAGTTACTGAAGAAACTAATGGGGCTTAGGATTGTGGAGAAGAATAGAGCTAACTCTGCCTAGCCCTCCTCCTTTAAAATTTGCATACCAAAAGCTTTCAAATTTCTAAAATTGTATCTTACCACATTCCAAACTAAGTCTTGAAAGAAGGAAAAACCTCAGGTATGCTGGGTCAGAAACAACAAAAATAGATTCATATAACACTGAAATCAAACATATCTCCCATAGCACCTCAGGGGTCTTGCTACTTGTCCAACCAGTTTCAGAGCCTTTTGGTTTGGAGCAGATGGCACACAGTGTTCCTGGATCCATAGCAAGAGACTCACTCTTTCTGTTACCTGAGCTCTGTTTGCATGCCTGTTCCCTGTTCGTCTCTGAAATCTCCTAGACCCTGCTCCTGACACAAGTCCCTCTGCTGTCACATCCTTTTTATTTTCTTTAATTGTCATCTCCTGCACAGGCCCTCAACAGAAAGGAACACTCTTTCCTATCCCACAGAGGTTACACCTGACATAGGCACTGACATGCCCTCCATCACAAGGCTGAAGGAGGAGCAACAGGTAATTGATCTGTTTTGCATAGTTTCATGAACTAAATTAAGTCAAGTAAGACTTTTTGTTGCAATCTGAAGGACAAAAACAAGAGAAGACTATTTTTCAGATTGTCTACTGTTTTATTTTTTTTACTGTTACTTAGCTGATGCACCCTACTGTTCACTTAGTGCTAACTTCTTTGTTTATATGACATATTGTATTTAAAAAGGTATTTCACGGGCATGAAAATGTTACTTCAGTACACACAATCACATCAGATGACACCATATCAGTTAGTAGCAACCGAGCTGCTCCAAAGAAGCACTGACACAGTGGGTTTTCATGAAAGGCTTTGAGTTTCTAATTGTCAGAGAACATCAGTCAGCAGAAAGCTAGAGCAGCACAAAGCTGGTTAGAAAACACACGCAGTGAATCACAATCAGGATGCTGGAATCAAATTAATTCACTAACTCAACAGAAGGAATACTCGTACAGAACAATTACTTCCATAACAGCTGCATGTGCTGTGTGTCAGTAGGTGTAAAATGTAACAGGACTGAGAGGTCTTGGTTTTAAAACCAAGTGTTTCTATTGTGCAGGAAAAACAACAAAACACAAAAAAGTGCCACTGAGTAAGGAATGGAAGATGCACTCTGACAGAGGGCTGGTACTGACGTCTAAGTGTCAGAGACAGCAGGCACCTACATGAAAGGGAAATTCAAAAATAAACTCACTCAAACTTCACTGTGAAGTTTCTGTCCTAAATAACAGTTGCTTGAATAACAACAGGAGGCATTGAAGCCTGAAGAAAAAACCAATGACTTAGATAAAACAATATATAATTTAGAAGCCACTTACTCATTCTTGCCTTACCACCTCAAACTGCATTAGTAAAGAGTGAATGAAAGATGCTGAAGAACAGCAAGAGCGGGTATCACCTCAGAACCATTCCAGATGATTCGGTTTCTCCTGAAGTCGTGATTTCAGCTAGGACAGACTTAACTTTCTTACTGGTAGCTGATATAGAGCTGTGTTTTGGCTTTGGGTCAGGAACAGTGTGGCAGTGCACTGGTGGTTTTGGTTGTTGCTGGGCCATCAAGGCCTTTTCTGCTCCTCACGCCCCTGGCTGCTGGCGAGGACTGGGGGTGCGCAAGGCAGCTCACCCCAGCTGATCAAAGGGGTGTTCCAGACCATATAGCATCATGTGCAGTATATAAAGGTGGGGGAAGAGGAAAGAAGGGGGGATGTTTGGAGTGATGGCATTTGTCTTCCCAAGTCACCGTTATGTGTGATGGAGCCCTGCCTTCCTGGGGATGGCTGAACATCCACCTGACGATAGGCAGCAGGGAATGAATTCCTTGTTTTGCCGTGCTCACGCACACGACTTTTGCTTTATCAATTATAATGGCTTTATCTCAACCCACAAGTTTTCTCACTTTTACTCTTCTGATTCTCTTCCCCACCCCATCGGGAGAGAGTGCTAGCACTACAACAAATGTAGAACATTCACATAATTACTGACCAGAAATGTCATACTATCACACAGCATTCGTTTGCCCAGGTATTATTTTAAAATATCAACACTTTGTTGAATTTTAAATAAAATATGGCACAGTTTTAAAAAAACCCAACCCACTGTACAGCTGTATATTCCTGACAAAGTCCTGAAATCCGTAAGCAGAAGAGCACTAGAACTTCGGACCTTTGCTTTAAGCCATTTGCTTCAAGACTATCACATACTGTATTTTTTTAGATGAGAAATACACCCTGCCTTCATGGAGGCAGTACAATTAGCAGCACTCAGGTTTTACAGTAGCTTTCACAGTGTTTAGACAGCTGCATTTACCCTTGTTTTTCCAGAGAATAAGGGTCCATCTTTTTTTTTTTAACCCAGTCTTTCTCTGGTCAAGTCTTCAACTTGATTTCACTGTGAGGAAAAAGTGACTTCTTCATGCCCTGCAGCACATGAGTGATCCTTGCTTACTCCATGTTAAGCACATGCTTTGTCAGATCACAGCTCACACTCTGATAACAAAGATCAGGCACCCACTAAGCAGCGGGCACTACTTGTACCCATACCAGGTGTCATGTTTTTCAGGCAGATAACATTCAGGCAGCAAGGCCTGAGCAACATGCTATTATTTGGCCTGTGGGATTTGCGCTTTTTATTGTTTTG